AGAAATGTCCCTTGTTTTGTTTCTTCTTTCGAGTCAATTTCGCGAGCTTGTCTGATCGAGCTGAAAGTTTGAGCGCGTGATTGATCACCATGGCAACAAGCGTGGCGAACCTGTCGAAAAAGTATTTCCCGTGTTCCGTATACGTGTGCATGGTATACCAGCGATTTGATTCAAGAAAATTTTGAAGCCTTTACAAACCGTGGAGACAGTTTGGTATATATACATATTATAAAGATATGCTACATTAGTTAGTCTGGTTGATCGCCTGTCTGGCTGGCTGTTCCCCATTGCCGGTCGGTAACATATAGTCTATGCATTGAACAATTGCACACAAGTGTACCCAAGTAGCACAAAGAATAATTGACAAAGACTACGCATACACAACAATGTTGCTCACGGGCTTTTGTTGAGCCATGTATACTTCAGAACGACTGGTCATCGTGGCGCATAATGCAAAAGGGTGTCTTGGACAGTGATGTTCCGTAATACGCCGAATAATTTCCATTCAGGGGCATGAAAATTCTCTATTTTGTAGACTTTCCGCTGCAACCGTTGACGAAATTCCCAGCGGAATTCCCTGGACAACACTAATGATTTCCGCCCCCATCCGCGCACACGTATACTAAATATACGCGTGTCTCACGTACTGGTGACTTTTGAAATCATTAGTCTCCCCTCCACTGCCGCATAACCAAAGCATGACTTTATTGTTTCATATACTCTTAGTACACTGCACATTGTGGGATTCAAGTCTAACACCACTAGTGAACTAGAAATAGCTCCGCCTAAATATCAGGACTAATTTCAAGAGCTATGTTTGCGTGGTACATGCGTCAGAGCCGATTACAGCAGATGAAGGCACACTGTGACCGCTAATTATCGGTCGTCATACGAGAATTCAACCATTCCTCAAGTTCCCTGCAATATCACGAAGATTCCTTTTTTTTCTTATGGCTCAAAATGACAGGCGAAAACTCCCCGAAAAAGGGAAAATTCCCTGCACGGTACGTCGCTGGTCGAGAATTAGTGATAATTCCGCGCTCGAGCCTCGCTGAAAATGTAGTGCAGTCCTCCATGAGCTGTCGTCCGTGAAGCATCGTTTGGTGTCATCGCCAAAGACATCGCACGATGCTCAGCGGTCATCTCCTGGAGGCCTAGCCCGGGCCACTAATTCTTCGTTGGATCCTTAATAAAGTTTATTACCTACCTACCTACCTACCTACCTACCTACCTACCTACCTACCTACCTACCTACCTACCTACCTACCTACCTACCTACCTACCTACCTACCTACCTACCTACCTACCTACCTACCTACCTACCTACCTACCTACCTTCACGGTCTCTCAATCTAAATCCGACAGCTAACGTTCTCATACGCTTCTTGTGGTTCCCATAGGGCCACTTTGTAACGCTATTCTTCTTAGCGATACAAATAGCATGTCTTGTGAGCGTCCCACTTGAAAACTTGTTACTTTGTTTCATAAAAGTCTACAGACTGTATATACAAGCAAAAATCGTTAGACTTCTAGTGCCCACGTCGTTCCACACATTGTTTGTCCATTGAAAACTTCCGCTTCGTAGGCCTTAATTCCGAACCGTCCACTTGGGAGCCCCTCGTAGCCCTGATAACCACGCTAAAATGTTTTCGATGAAAAAAAAAAAACATATTGTTTTGTGTGAAAGTATTGTCTATTAATTATTAGGCTATGCTGATTATCGCAGTTGAAGTTCAACCACCCAAGGCCCAGTTAAAATACGGGCACTTTTATTGCTTTTGCGATGACTGGATTGAAAGAAGCACGCAGATGAAGGAAATCCACATTTACGTATTTATTATTAAAACAAAATAATAGGAAACAAGCAACTAAATGAATGACCGGGAATAACTACGCATCTAGCGGTATTGTACGTCTACAAGTGAGTGACTGGACGTGTTCATTTTTTTGTGCGAAATAGTCAAATACATCGACATAAAATGGCATGATAGCATATGTGGGCAGCAGTTAGTGCCAAACGTAAATTAGCAAGGCTTTCCTTATTTTTCCTAGCACGTATTTGAGTAGAAGTTGATTGGATAATTTATCAATATCATTTTATGTACAATTGGTTTGATTTCTCCCATGCGTTTTAATGGTGGCGTTGAAATGCGCAGGTGACATCGTCCTTCAGTGACGCTACGGTTCTTTCCCTTGGGGAACGTTCGAAAAATACATGCATTTTGGAGCTCATGCAAGTGAAGCATAATGCGGTGTGTTGAAACTCTACATGCAGACAAAAAAAATATACATAAGACTCAGCAACTACAGTTCGTGATTAAGTTGGTTTCACCATCAGGAGGCCAGCGTTAGCCTTCTTGGGGAAAGTGTCACGCCACGCCAATTCACCTTCCCGGTGTCGTTCAGGTGCCTGCCGGTGTTAGCTGTACGAGAAGAATTGTGTACGTTGCGATGGCTCCTACGACTCCCAGTATGAATGGTCTGTCTATGACGCAGAAGTGACCGCTCGTGAGGACAAGTCGCGAGGTTTGCAAGCCGGTCTCCAATAGAAGCACCTGACCGCTGGACTGCCAGTCGTTCCCGTTAATGGTTGACCGCAGCTGCTTGACCTCCTGAAGCAGATCTTTGGCTTCGATATCTACACTGGAGGCGCTCAGGGAGAGGACCAGAAAGATGACTATGTAATACACCGAGTCCAGCGCGGACTGTCGGGAGCTGACGCCTTTGGCGAGACTCCTCACGGACAGAACCAGATTGATGATGATATCCAGAAACCAGAGGAAGACGAGCGTGCTGTAGATGCTGTCTATGCGCTTCATGTCCTTCCAGACTTCGTAGGACATGTCCTGATAGCTCTTCACGTCCTGGCTTTGCGTCAGTCCTTTCTTCACGTTCCTCGACACGATGTCCTTGAAGTTCTGGATGCGCTGTTTGACCTTGAGACTAGCCGTGACGTAATCGCTCATCAGGAGTCCCGGTATAATTATGAGGATATCGAAGAATGTGAGGTTGAAAAACACGGCTGCTTCTATGCCCTCGATAGTTACGTTTACCGTGGTGGCGTTTGTTCCGTAGAGGAAATCTCTGCAGTATTCGCTGATGTCGCCGTTCAGCACAAAGTCAGCCGAAATTGCTACCTCGAGCATGAGATAGCCGAACACGAATGCCTTGAGAAGAGATCCCCACGAGACGCATCGCGAGTGAGTGTCATCGCCGTCCGCTAGCGACAAACGTTGTAGGAGCCTCTTGGATGGTGTGCTGATCTCGAAGGCCAGCTGAAGGTTCAGAGCCGCAAAGAAGGACCTGGTGACAAAGCTGGCAATGTCGAGAACCTTCATCATGTTGTGAATGCGCGTGAAGGTCATGCCGACGTTGACGGCAGTGTGCATCGTGAAGGCGTACGCCAGAAGCGAGATGGGCCATTTCAGGAAGGAGATCTTCTGCAGAAATCCTACGGGCCCCGATTCCAAGGCGCGCATGTATAGATTGGGAGGGATCATGCGTTGCGGACCCATGCCTTCCATGATGCGAACCTTTGAGCCGTCCATATCCGTTAAAGTGGCAACTCGAAACTTACCGTCACTCGTAACAATAGCGGCCAGACGTTTCTGGACTGCCCGCACGAAGTTCTAAGCGTGAATGCGCAATGTATCGAATAACGCAGTCAGCCAATCGAGCAGGTCACCTTCAATGATCGCGTCGTCCACGTGTGCTTTTATTTGCGTAGGCACCTTGACTCCGCCCAGCGCTCATTTACGGCGGTAATTTGTGGTCCTCGCTCCTTCAACGCCGACCAAAGTCAAGGTCAGGGATGTTGTCTCGAACTGGGTGTGCCACAAGACATGTCTCTGCTGCATGCAGGCTGCGTATGTGGAGCAAAGAAACGGGTTTAATCGCCATATGGTGGTTTTGGGACGTTAAACCCCACAAATCAATCAAATCAATCGCCATATGATCACCCGTTCCGCCGACAACACCGAGTCATTTTCTTCTGCAAACATGCGTTTCGTCATGGTACTCCCCTACATGAACGTTAACGCTTCACCACGCCCTTCACGTGTTTTCACTTGTACAATAAGAGCGAGCGATTTCTGCTTCCGCACGCTGGACAATTTGGCATGGTAATCGCAAACACATTATGCATCGGACGCGTTGACCAATCGACAAAGTGCATCGATCTGTTTTTCGCGTTGAGGTGTTATGCATGATCTCTATACGTTGCAACGATAGACAGAGCTACTGTCATCAAGTGTAAAGATTTTGCGACTCGTCGGCAAAGTAGTCCATCCTAAGTCTGCATTCAGTCCATCCTGGAGTCACTGTGTGCACGGCCACCAAGAGCGTAAGTTGGCACATTTATTTACTTCTTATCTGGTTATCTGTGATGTTGTAAAGTTGTGAAGTTGTAAAGTTGTAAAGTTTTAAAGTTGTGAACAGCTACATTGGGCTGTTTCTGATGACTAACTGTAAAACGATATCAAATGACAGCATTCACTTGAGGGCTTTCTGGTATCTGAATGGCCACATATGCGGCTCGTATACGAAATCGTTTAGAAATTAAGGTAATTTAACTAAGCGTGCACTTCAGGTTATTGCATCTAAAATTTGAAGCTGCTGCACAATTTAAGTCTAACTATAGAAAATGCAACATCTTTTTCACATCTTTCTTTTTCTTCTTGTATGTCCAAAAACGTTTTGTTGTATGTCCAAAAATCTGCTGTCATTAGTCTTGTGATCTGTATTCGAGTTGCGTGCTATATTTCCCGAGGCCTCCAGCTGTGTGGTGGTACTTTTTAAGTACCGCGTCATGAACAATATTCCACTGCTTATTCCTTTCTTGAGACCTCATCATCGCAGAGTATCAGGCGTTTCAGTAAGTTAACCTTTATAATGAATGGATCATCCATTTTGTTTCATATGCTTTTTGCTTTGCTGTTAAAACAACCACTTGGTATCTATGGTAAGCACCGGTTACAATGACACCTTTATATTCCCTCAGGATGTTCAGAGCGGGCGTCTTCCCCGCCGAAGCCACAGTCTTGCCTTTTCAAGGAAAGGCAGTGCCGCTGAAACCTGAACGAGAACGGAACAGCAAAGCTGAAAAGAAGTCGAGTCCGTCCCCGTGGATCATCCTGAAACTCGCGCTGATGTACATCTACAGTGTCCACATCGTGTCTAACGCCATAGCCGGCAGCATACGCACAAGTTCGTTGTCATACATCATTGAAACCCTAACATACACGACCCGGTCTCTTGTCTCCACAATCACCACAACCTACTTCGTCGTCAAGGCGAGCGAGTTAAAACTTATCACCGACGAGCTGACACAGTTCGAAGGAGTCCGGCCGACCAAGTTACTCGATAAAGCCGCCTCCAAGCGCCGCTACCTCCGCTTCTCCATAGTATGTTACAGTTGTCTCTTGATCGCCATGACCGTCCTCTTCTTCGTACTGGTGCCCGCGCAGAAGTACTTCGACAAGTGTTTCTACGGAATAGACCTCGCCACCGCCGGCATACCTAACGGCCCCGCCATTCTTATAGGATTGATCGAGTGGGACTCTTACAACATCCTCGTCACTGGATCTCCTGTGCTGATGACTAACTACATCTATCTGTGCGATTACCTTCGGGGCCAGATGCTCAGCTTCAGGGCTGCCGAGAGGGCAGTGCTGGACAGTGGACCCATGGACGTCACCAAGTTCGAAAAAATCCGGACCATGTGTACCAGGCTCATAGACGTGGAGCGACGGCTTGACTCCCTCTTTGCCCCAGCGGTCCTTCTTTGGTTCGTAGACTTGCTAGTCAATATAGTGCTGCCCATCCGCACCCTGATCAACGGCATTGCATCGTTCACCATAGCAAACGTGATGTCATTCTTCATCGAGGTCATCTACTCGGTGTCTTTCTTCATGATCCTCTCTTTCTCGCTGGCTCAAGTCGACAAGGAATACAAAGAAATCGAAGAGGAGACGTTTCGGCTGCGTAACTCCGTGCCCACCGAAGACTGGCAGCTGGGCCAGCAGGTCACCTTGCTTGAATCCGGCATCAACTCGTCCAAGTTTACGCTGACCGGCTGGGGCCTGTTCGAAGTGGATCGCTCCTTCATACTCACCATCGTCGGGGCCGTCGCTACGTACACCGTGGTGTTGATTCAGTTGACACCTGGACAAGACACGTACTGAAAGGGCGTTTCGCTGGAAACAGGGAAAGTCCAGACTAGGTGTAGGTCACTAACCAACCATGCCGATCAGAATCCACCGCGTTGGTAGTCAAATATGATGTGCGCGGATCAGTACACTTTATACAGTTCTCGTTCAAAAACGTCTATTTCGATTAAGCTATTTGCGGCTGAACGAGTTCTTACGCACTCAAACTTGAAAAAAAAAATATGCGCACTTAGTGACCTAACTCTCGAATCCAATTCATACGTGCACGATTTCCGACATGGTGTCGAGAAGCACTGACATTTATTTCGCTGATGGCATTAGCAAACATTAATTGTTCCTATCACAAGAAGTTTCCGAGATTGGTTAGTATATATAATTGAGAATGGCGTCAATATAGGAGCCACGAAAACTAATTATTTGATTTTTTAAGGTACATTTCGCCATCCAAAGAAGCTCGAATTTATAGCTTGCGTCGCGCCTATGTGGTCATGGCAGCATAAATGTGATTTTGCCATGTGTACTCGTGAACGCAAAATAAAACTCCCTCCTGACCTGTGCTATTTATTCTGGTATTAATTGCGTACGTTCAACCTGCGCACGACATTGTGCGGTAAGGTTGCTGGTAAGTTAATTGAATATTTACATGAGTTATTACGTGTGTTCCTCACGAAACATGTTTAGAAACTGCATTTTGTGGCGTGACGACATAAATGAGTAGCTTCATTTAGTTCATGAGTATTGCTTTAATTTTCCGAGAACACCTAATCAATGCTAATAAGAGCAAAATACATATCTAAATAATGAAATAAATTCAACGAAACAAACAAGCAAATAAACATCGCGATTGTAGAATGGTTCTGGTTTTTTTTTTTCTCTTTATCACGTCAATTGCGTGGGTACCAGTTAGATTAGCTGGTGCTATATTATTATTAAGCATTGTCTTCTGGTCTAATGAGATGAATTGCGACCACCTAATCGGCCGTGCGGACAGCCCAAATTGTGAACGCTGCCAAGTGCGCGAAACGATAGCTCACATATTTTGTGACTGTGCATTATACGTGGCCCAAAGAGAAATGCTAACTGCAACGTTGGCAAGCATTGGACGAACACCATTAAGTGAAAGCCACATATTGTCAGCAATGAACGACCAAACAGTGTCAAAAACTGCTACAAAGGCTGTTCTAGACTTTATAAAAAGCACTGGACTAGAAACTAGACTGTAGGGTACTATACTAAGTGGCTACTGTACATACGCACCACATCTTCTTGTCCCCATCATCACCCTTCATCCCTCTTTCTTTCCCCTTTCCCTTATCCCCTGTGTAGAGTAGCAGGGTAGAGCGAACTAGCTCAGGCCGACCTCTCTGCCTTCTAATAAATTCTCACTCACTCACACACACGAAGGGTATGGTTCGATTTTGAAAGAACCCGCGCTCACGCACGGCGCTTCGGTCGTGCGGTCAACCGCTTTTCCGGTCACGTGATCTAACATGTCTGCCTTCCATTTGCCCTGATCGGATTGCGAGCCGCCCTGAAATTATTTTTGAAGTGGTAAGGCGCGGATCAGCAGCAGGTGTTTGTCGCCGAAGCAGCGTGCGTGCGCCGCCCGTAAAAAGACGATGAGCGACGACGAGCACTTCGACTTTCTCTTCAAGATCGTTCTGATCGGCGACTGTGGCGTCGGCAAAACTTGCGTCGTCCACCGCTTCAAGAGCGGAATGTACGTCGAGCGTCACGGCAACACGATCGGCGTCGACTTCGCCATGAAGACGCTCACTGTCGAAGGCAAGAAAGTCAAGGTAGGTCCCCACCTCAACGTCCTCGAAATGTCTCTCTCCTGGCGGCAGCCGAATTCGCTTACGCGTTCGGAGCACATCGTAGGGTCGCGATAGAGCTTTCTTGCAGCTGTCACATTTAACCGAGTAACCGATGCAGCTGTTGTTTGTTTGGGGGCTGTGCGATAATGCTTCTATAGTTAAAGCGCGTTTGGTTGCCGTAGTTCATTGGGACAATTGTCGCAGAATGTGGGAAGACCCACGTCTCCCGGTAGTGTCGAAAAGCAAGCCGACACGGTTCAGCGCGTTTGCGGGGCAGAGAGAGCTTAGGAGGAAAACTGAATGCCGTCCTTTATCGTATCCTTGAAGTCGCCCCCCCCCCCCTCTAATTTGTTTGATCGCCTGCAGCGGCTGTCGTAATTCCTGAGAGCTTGCCAACATCAGCGAAACTAAATGACGCTTTCGTATCGAGAGCGGGAAACACAAAACGATATATACACGCTCACGCCGATAGCGTTTGTAAAAGTCAAGGAGCTCTTGTATTTGTGTTTTGTATTCTAACGTGAAGCCGAAAACGAATATGCCTCTTTGACTTGTGGTGCCGTCAACAGTGAAATTGAGGAGGTGATAGAAACCTGCCGTAGGATCTAGCCACTTGAGATCTGACATATTGATTTTGAAACCCCGGCTTTTTCACTTTCCAGCTCCAGATATGGGACACGGCGGGACAAGAGCGCTTCCGGACAATCACCCAGAGCTACTACCGCAGCGCCAACGGCGTCATCATTGTTTACGACATCACCAAGAGGTCGTCATTCCTGAGCCTACCGCGCTGGGTCGAAGAAGTACGGAGGTACACGGGCTCGAACGTACCCCTGATGCTTGTAGGTGAGAACATTAGCGTATTCTAAAATTCCGCGCAGATTCCGAGTGGCTTCATTAAGGTGGTTCCTTGAGCGAAACATGAAGTCATACAAGTAGCCACGTGATGAACATCACCATGACGTCTTGCTGTGACGTCATAATGGCGTCACAGACAGCAAAAATTTATGGCAACATGACGCCATCATGACGTTGCGCGATTGCGTCATCATATGGCGTCGCCACTTGGTCAAAGATGGGCCATTCTTTAAGGTTCTGCGGAGAGGTGCACAAAGCTTCAGGGAAGGCGGGGAGGAGAAAAACAATGCAAGAGACAAAAGATCAAGCTAATTTTTAACGAGTGTCTCTCACCCTGTGGTACATAATGTGCAGCAAGAAATATGGTCTCCAATTGTACGCATTAACAAGTGTGCAGCAGACACTCGTCTGCTGTGCTGATTACCACATAGCAATGTAAAGTGTGATTCATAGTATTCAAATAGTTTATATCAAGAGATTCAAGACTGCTTCCCTTCTTCATGCTGACAGAGTAAGTAGGTTTGCAGGAAATTGCCTTCCCTGGTGAGAAAGGGAATGGAATGGCAGAGTACACCGGGAATATTTGGTGCACTTGTAAAATTCGAATAATTATTCAAATGTGCACCAATAGACAAGGCTTTTATGCACATGTGTACTTTTTTCTTCATTTTTATGGTGAGCAAGTGTCACCGATCAAGACTGTTAAATGTGGTATTGCTTTGCAGAAGCCTCACCTTTATGTGCAGGAAGCTTCTGAAGAAGTACAGACAATTCTTGATAAATTGCTTGCACAACATGCATTATAAAAGCTGTGCAAGCTTGCGGTAGCATTAAAGAGCTCGTTTAGCAGAAATTTCAGTGTCCACGTTGTCATCGTTGGTTGTGAGCAGAAAGTCAGCGTTGTCAGTGAGCAAAAATTTTGGACAGATGCGCATAAATAATCGCTTCTAGTAGAAGTAGGTTTTCTACCACAGAGCTACGCCTTGGCTTGGACCTGCTTCTAGAAGAGACACCACACAAACGTCATGTAAAGTAAGGAGTCTCCTTGATGTGTATAATGTTGCGTTGCAGTATCTTAGAACTTTTGTAGGTGTCAAAATATGAAATGCACGAGTTAGTGGTTCAAAGGCTCAATCAATACAAAGCGCGAGACATTTAAATCATCATAAGTGGTAGATTCATATAAGTGAGCAGCAGCGTAGGCTCACCTGTTGCCTTCAACATGTAGTGGGTACCATATTTGCACGCATTTAACGCAAGTTTTTTTTCCAGATTCTTGCTACTAAAAGTCAATCCTTGTGCAATTCAATATTCAAATTGTATTTTTTATTCGTGGACATCATGAAATGTCGCCCCTCGCATTACAGTCGTGGTCGTGTTATAATCAAGTAAACACGGTACTTCACTGCCTTGCGAAAAAAAGAATTGCGGTCTAGTGTGTGCTCTGCAACTGTACTTGCAGTAGGCATTGTAGGGTAGTTTGAAATATCTAATGTTACATGTGCAGATGTTTCTTTCCTTGCGGCATGGTTGAGGTGCCTATTGAGGAGTTAGGCAGGCTACTAATTGAGAAGGCAATGCTAATGGGTCCTGATTATGCAATCACATTTTACTTTTGAGGTGAAGCTCTAACATCCTCATACTTTTTTAAGCTCGATTTCATTGTAGTTGCCCCTGTCATCATACTGTGCGTACTCTATGGTTTGTTGGACACAAGTTAGCCCAGTAAATAGCTTGTTCTTTATCATTTTCGCCGCCTGCATCTCTTACCCGCATGAATATGTCATATTATGGTTGAAAAAGATTCCTTTAAGGTAAGTTGATGAATGACAGCAAAAATCACACAAAATAAATTTTCCTTTGATGTAGCAGACATGAAATAGCTCATTGAAACTTGATGCTAGGTGAATAAGACAGTTACAAGTAATAGTATTCATCATGTGAAAAAACTAAGCAACATGAGCACACCGAGTACACTCTCGGCTTATGAGTTTCCATGATTTTTTTTTTTGCCGTCACTTCACAGAACCTGCAAAAATAATTTGCTTACGCAGTATGCACACTTTGGGAGAAAGGGCTTAAGGCAACCTTTAAAAGATCATTGAGCCTGTCTTGTTGTTTAACGGGGTCGCTTTTAACCTTTGATGACAGCCCCACTGCCTTGCCTGCAGGAAACAAATGCGACTCTGAAAGCTTGCGAGAAGTGACGCAGGAGGAGGCACAAGCCTTGGCCGACCAGTACCCCGAGTTTATGGCCACCATCGAGACGAGCGCCAAGGAGAACACCAACATTGAGTCCCTGTTTGTCATGCTCGCCACCGAACTCAAGAACACCCACGACGCCGTCGGACACTTGACCGATGAGGACCTGCGGCGCATCTCCCTCAACACGAGCAAGGTCGGACCCAAGAACGCGTGCTGCACAAAACTGTGATGGGGCTAACGAAAATCTCCCCTTCAAGAAGGAGAGAGTGCAACTGTAACGTTACGTCTTCTTTTTTCCCCTGTTCCATCTTACGTGCTCCCTGCGAAGCATTTTTTTTTTAAACGTACCCTCCTTCTTTTACTACCGAAGCAACGCAATTTGGTAGCCGCGGTACCAACTTGTGCCACTAATTCAGCTTGCCTCCCTCATTGTGAGTAGCTGTGATCAGCAAAAATGAAAAATTTGCAGCTTCTCAGACTAAAGGATGCTGCACTGAAAGCAAACTTTGTTGGGAAGGTAAAAGGCGCAGTGTCTCTTGCCAGCTCCCAGGCAGATCAAACATATCACCCTTCCTGAAAGTCTCTGCGGTTGTGAACACCCGCTGCCTTTCAACGTATGGTCACACCTGTGTGGTGTCCTAACTGTAAAGAGTTCTTGTTTGTGGTCACTTAGTATTGACTGTCGTTTATGTCCTCCTAGGAAAAGTGCAGAACATCTGGAAGGAGCGACTCAAACAGTGCCTTTTTCAGCCTTTTGGCAGTGCCGCAGTGCTGCACAAGACCAGCAGCACTCTTTATTTTGCTTTTTGAGTGGGACTTACAATGGGTTGTCTCTCATATCCCACATTCGCAATAAAGGTGTCACTTTTCAAATGTGATGCACTCGCCCGAAGACCCACTTGAGCCGGTGTCGAGTGCATCTTTTATAGCTTATAAGACTACACCTACTGACATAACACTCAGGATACATTTCCATGAGTTTTACTCGGCGTTTTTATCCACTAGTCACACTTTTCTTCATTGCCATCGCATCTGGCAAAGTCTCTTTGCTAGTTTTTAAGCTTCTAGGCATTAATACATGTAATTAAATGTAAAGGGTTTTATGACCTCTTCGCTGCTGCAGGCACGAAATATTAAAGTCGATTAAATCTGTGTGCATTTCCTGATTTAGAACCTGCTGCTAAGCCTTACGTCATAAGTTTCCGTCCTGGTAAAATGGAAGTGAAATGTGAAGTTGTATGGCACTTCGTTTTGGTGAATATTAAACAATCCTAGGTTTTGATGCTTAATTAGGAGCTTCTTTTCAACACACGCAGACAGCTACAGCTCAACGTGGATTGGGGTATACATCAGAGTTCATCAGCCAGCCCTGCTGAAAGGCCTTAGCAAATACCTTTGCTATTGATATTGTTAAGGATGTAGTGTGGCTTCAGCATGGTATTGCACCAATTATATAAACCACCACTTTTTTGCTCAATTTGAGTCTCCTACAGAATGACTTTGCACCATTTTCTGCCTTTGTGCAAAAGGTGTCAAGCTGGATTGGCAAGTCCACAGAGCTGGCACAAACAGAGCCTTTAGTGCCAGGCAAGTGTGTTGTTGCTTGTGATTGTTGTCACTGAAGTTAGCATTGTCAGTAATATTGAAGCTAAAATAGCTTCAGCACCACTTCTCTCATTGCCGTTAATGGCAGCACTTCCTTACTTGAAATGCTAGCCCGAATAAACGTGTTGCTGCAAACTTTTGTTTGAGGTTCAAATTTTGATGTTAAACTTGTCTATGTCTGTTTGTACTGTAGCGATTTCATTACGGCTGTGTACAGTCCTCACGAGCTGAAAAACAACAATATAGGCCTTAGTTTTACGCCAGCTTTCATTTCCATCATCTTCATTTCATATCATATCACTGTAATTTCGACTTTGAACACGTACATCATAACCAACGTTTAATTTAGTATCTGTACAGCCATACATAAGGCGAAATGATGTTCTATCTTCAGCAGAAATTTTAGATTAACAGAGGGCCGAGTTGTGAGTTGTTAATCGGTATTTGTGGGGTCTTGATGTCTCTCTGGTGTCCGTGTTCGTATGGCTTGCCTCGCTAATGTTTTGAGCAATTGCTTATGCTACTTATGCTCAAAATGTTGATGTTTAATTTAAGTACGTGAGCACTGTGAACTGCTTGAAAGCATGGCAACAGGGGACATCTTTATGACAAGAAAACTCACAACATCTAACGTGATGATCTGTTTTTGATTTTTTTTGTCACTATCCTGTTTCTAGTTATATTTCTTAAACAGCAATTGATGACTTGGCAAAGCAGCCCACTGGTATCAATAATTACTGAACAATTGTTTGTAACTGTGAGTTACTTAATGAGTTGCTTTTGTGTGAGAGTTCTTAGACAAATGCACAAGTTTCTGAGCCAACTGAGATGTGGATATCGTTAATGAACCATGCTTATCCTGTTGCTGCTGGCTATCTTTTTAAAACGTCAACCTTATGTCGCTATCATAGCCATTCCAGATGAGAAAGCGTTGCAAATGTGATGGTAACACAAGCAGAGAAATACACTGGACAAGCCTGTGCTAGCTGTGCTGTTCTCTGCATTGTGTTACGATGTCCCACTCGTGCTTCTGTTGCAGTAAATGTCAACCAGCTTGCCCAGTTCTACACTCCATCGTAGTTCCACTTCTTGTGCAATGATTACCTTGTTTGTTAAAGCCTCTTCAGTGCCTATCCTGTATGGTATTCCTCTGCCTTGTGTTCAGCCCCATTCATGCTGCCCTTTACTTGGTCACTTTTACACTCTCTAGTAGGTCAGCGAATATCAGGAGTTTTAGTGTCTTGGACACCTAAAGGTAGGGGAGGCAAAACAATTATCAAAGATTGCTGGGTGTAAAACTTTGGGTGTGCGGAGAAAGTGTTGTAATTTCTAAAATATTGAAATGTTGATCAAAGAATAAGAGAGAAAAACTGCATTCTTTACATCTCTATCCATATTGGGCTCTCTTTAAAAATTTTGTCAGATGTACATTTGTTATAAAGTTCAGAAAAATAGCTTCTGTACCCAAGAGGCTTGCATTTGATTGATTTGATTGATATGTGGGGTTTAACGTCCCCAAAATCATCATATGATTATGAGAGACGCCGTAGTGGAGGGCTCCGGAAATTCTGACCACCTGGGGTTCTTTAACGTGCGCCCAAATCTGAGCACACGGGCCTACAGCATTTCCGCCTCCATCAGAAATGCAGCCACCGCAGCCGGGATTCGATCCCGCGACCTGCGGGTCAGCATCCGAGAACCTTAGCCGCTAGACCACCACGGCGGGGCGAGGCTTGCATTCGATGAATGCGCATTGACAAATGTGCATTTGACGAATGTGTGTTGGCCTTATGCACAATCCTTTAGGTGACCTATTCTACACCTTCCTATTCGGAAGCATTACACTCACTCAGCTGGCTTCTAAAGTTTCGAAAAGGGGTGTTCGTGATATTCAAGTCAGCTTAAGCAATCAAATGAGCTCTTTTTCTGAGTTGAACTAGGGATATGTTCAAAACACTTCAGCAGTTGACTTGCTTTGTTCTCTTTGCTAACGACATTAACATCATATTCATGATAGACAGTTCTCAAGAGATTCGTCCACATTTGAAGCTACAGTGCAGGCTTAAAATGAACAAACATCAATGCTGAATGTTTGTAAGTACATATACAGTTTTTACATGCCCTAGAATCTCAATCTGCTGCCATGTCAACATCCATTTGCTTGTTTATATTTTAGCCATTTTCCCATTGTTTACTATGATTGTGCTCTATTGGAGAAAGCGGCAGATTTCCAGAGCAATGCAAAGACACTGCACATGCTGGTTTTACCGGAAGGGTTGTTGAAACGAAATTGATCCATCTGAGATGTCACCGGTGCATTCGATAAAAGTGACAATGGAAAGCAATAACCAAGACAAATGTACAAGGCACTATTTAATGAATTAGTTCGGCACAAAACATCTCTTTATGCATTTTTGTACAATCTGTTAAGCTGTTGCTACTTGCCAGCACTTGAAACCTGTGCCCTGTTTCAAAAGCTCGACATTTCATTCAGCTTGTTCAAAATATTAAGAGTGCATTCATGTGGCCAAAAATGAACTAAAATATTCAGGGCATTATTGACTGCATTGTGTGTAGGTACATGTATTTCTTGTGTAACTCCGAAGCAGTCTCTTCACCGTATGTCAGCCTGGAAAGAAACATTGAAGCATAATCATTTAATGTTTTTGTATTGGGAGCCAAGCAGGTTTTATCATTGTCATAAATGCTGACGTAGTCATTCATGCCTACAGAAACATCATTCGCTGCTCATTAAGTTGCACAGTCATCTCCGCTCTCAAAGTCTGTTCATGTTAGTGAATTGCTAAACCGTGTTGCAGTTCTCAGTTGCATCTCCAGAATTTTGACTAACCTAATCAGAAGTTCACTTCAAGCAACTTCTTTCATGTTTAGTCTATGACAAAGCAACCTAGCTAATCTTAGTTTATTTGAATTTGGTATAGGTGGTTTAATGGGGTTTTTTTTGTAATATTTATGACAGGAGACACTGAAATTTTTCAGGCAGCATTGACTACTCCTATTATACGTGGAACTATAGTATCCATAAAATTCACTTTGCTATTGTAGTATTTCCCTTGAGCCTGAAATGCACGTCGGTGTGTGCAGGCTTTTTGAAGTGCAGCTAGCGACCGTCTCTCGCAGCAGTTTTTTTTCCTGCTCAATGCAATCATCTGAAAAAAATGCCATATTTTGACAAGCAAATGTATGCTTGTTGTCAGCCGTTTGCTGGTGCTCGACTCTGAAACACCTGTATTTAAGTACAATTTGCTGGAAATGGGTTATCGCGTGCTGGGTGGTTTTCGACTAGTATAGAACATGAGCTGATGCGTCAGCACATTTCACGTCAAGGCGAAAACAGTGTATAGTGACGTGGGTGGATCGAAAAGACGTGAGACACGACCCGTCTCCATCATTGCGCACTGTTTTCGCCTCGGTATGAACAACCAACTAACTCGAGATGTGTTATTACATTTCATGTGTCAACCGCTACACATGCAGTTCATCAGTTTGAACGAAATTCGCATATGAAATGTCTTGCTTGGTGACTAAAGGCAGACTGTGCCATATCACCCTGCCTTCTGTGTGACATTGCACTCTGCAGGGTCAGTGTCAATGTTTGTGCACTTGTTAAGTGTTAAACAGGTTGTAATGAACCTTTGAATTTTGTATGTACCTGCAACAAGAGTTTAACTCCTGTTTTTTCTTGGCACCAGTTGGAAATTCACAAATCGCTATCGTGGCCTAGAGGGCCTTTGAAGATTTTTTCCAGTGTTTTTGTGTTGATGTGAAAGGACGCTTTCTGTTGGTGTGCTCTTGTGTTTGTAAATAGGCCTGGCACAAACAATATTGTCTTTAGTCGGGTCTCATTGGTTATCTCTAAATAGCTCAAAGACAGCAGTGCAAAGCCCATTTTCCACTTGGCCGGGACATTTTAAGCTCACTGAAAAAATACGGCAGGAAGAAGATGCAAATCATGTTTTGAAAAGTTTGTGCTTGTACCATCACATGTGCACCAAGCCGCAGAAAAGTTATAAACATGAATGTTTGGTTTCAAGCAGAATCTTTCTCGAATATTGTGATTCTCGAGGGCTACCTTTCAAACATGTCATGTCGCATACTTCAGCTAGTTTCATGACTCTGCTTGTGAGTTATCATCGCAACGTGTTACACTCCTACAACACCATCACAGCACTTAGCATTGCTTGTCCAGTCGATAGTGTGTATGTTTTGAGAAAATCTTCAAGCATAAATTGCCTGTTAATCTGGCCACTGCTCCAAGCACTGCTGTTTTTGAGTGTTGTCATTGCAATGCTTTTCTTTTAAGAAATGCTCCCTCAATAACAAGCCTCACTTGGTATGGACCAACAGGGGGATGTTAAAACCATGGTCTGCAACAGTGAATTTCTTTCATGGACAAGTGTAGCAAGGGCTGCACTAAAATACAGTAGACTCTCAGTAAATGGAAACCTGTTAAGTGGAACTGATGCCTAAACGGAACAACTGCCTCTGGCCGAATTGGTTTCGTGTTTGTGTTCTGCACCCATGGTCATCTCTTGGTAAATGAAACTCCTATTAAATTGAGCCTACTTTCCCGGTCTCTTCGGGTTCCGTTTACCGAGTCTACTGGAATTCGTGTCTTGACAGGATTATCAATTCAAACATCAAATTGAACTTACTGGTGCCAAACTAACAGTAGTTCACTCTTTTGTCCCTTTGCTACGGTCCAAACAAACAATCACATTTCGTGCATACCTGTTTCTGAGACCCTGGTTTGTGATTGAGATGAAAGCCTTTTGGATTATGTGCAGTTGCACATCATTTTTCCTTTGTGTATGTAAGAAATGTGCATTTTTTTTACTTAGATGAGCAATCACAGGCCATAGGTGGTGCAATTGAGAGGAAGAAAATCTCGCACTGGTGCTGCTGCACCATTGTTAGTGTAAAATTTTAAAAGCATTTTTCATTATTGTTTGTAGACTCGAGGCCGCTTGTGATTTTGTGCTTCGGCACATTTTTGTTACTTTGTTTGCGCTTTTAGGTTCATGTACAGCAGGCAGAGTGCCGAAAGCCCATTTTTAAATGTTTGGGTATCTTTATAAGCCGTGCTACTTTTCGAACAACTTAGTGCAAGATATTTTCATCTTGGTGCACTCCTGAAATAAACAAGTTGTTGCAATTTTACCTCAAATTGTCTCTTTTTACACCACAGTTTTATTAGCAGGTGCTTAAACATGTAGTCTTCTATGTTTGAGCCAACGCTTTGAAAATTAGGGGACCCTACAGTTTCGCCTTGGAGAGTTGAATGAGATAGCGATATTCTGTTCCTAGTGCATACCTCAAACACTTGGTGCATAAAGCCTTTTTGAACTTGCTATGAAGCCACTAATAAGGGCATAGGGACAGCAGCCTGTGTGCCTTTTGTAGTGGGTGACCGGCTTTAAACCACGAAGTCGTTATGATAATCACATGTTCTGATGCCCAATGGCAATGGGCGCTCGTACCACGCATTGTTACCGAAATACTTCGTGTTATATTGTGAAGCTGGTATAGCATGTCAGTCACTTTCACTACATTTCCAAGCAGAGAGTTATTTTCACTGTATTCACAAGCAGACGAGTGGCTGTGTGGTAGAACATCCGCTTGCCACGAAAACGACCCGGTTTGATCCCCACTCTCGACCAGGATATCTTTATAATTTATTTTAATTGCATCATTCTCAATTTTTTCGGTCACTCGTGATTTTTTGCTCACAACTAATGATGCTGATGCCCGAATTTCTGCGCAACGAGCTCTCTAACGCTATTGCAATAAAAAAAGAATTTGTCTTATGGCATACTTCACTGGTGAATCTCGAAACAGGATTTTTGTTCTCTAGTGGTGAATCTGTTATCTACTGGTAGTTTTGGATCTACAAACACTGCATTACAATGCCATCAGGTTTCACTATGTATTGTAGCGCTCCCTGCATACTGGAGTTGGGAAATGCACGAACAATAGCATAAAATATTTTAGTTTTATTTTAAACTTTTCAACAACAACCATCTGCAGGTCAGGCCCACCACAATGCACATTAGCATGAGTGGCCACAGTTCACTGGGCTTATGGACTCGGCATGCTGTCCTAAACTGCAAATGTCACTGCAGGCGCGTAGTCAGAAACTTTTTTCGGAGGGAGGAACCACCTTTTTCTAGTGTGCATCACGAGTTTCTTTCCCCGTGCGACTTAAACTTGCATCGATCTGTTGAGATGTTACTGTGAAACTGGCCCTTCAATATTAAAACTGAAAGTGGTTTCTTAAAGGTAGCCTAGTGAATGCATTGCTGGGGACCACTGAAAAAAACATTCTCTTTATGACTCTTGGCAATCGTTTTAGAGCAACTATACAAAAATTTCGAGAATTTGCACTCCTTTAAAAAAAATGAATTCTCATGTTTTACTTTTCAGAATGATGCGACTGTGAGGCACAGTGTGTTGAGGGGGCTCTGGATTAATTTTGATCACCTGGGGTACTTCGCATTTCACCCTCACTTGAAATGCAGTGTGCAGTCAAACCTGCTTCCTTGAGCTTAACAGATCAATGACTTGCCCACTGAGCTACTATAGCAGCTCATGGCAGTCGATTTGTTTGGAACACCATGCTCACATTGATCAACTGGGGAGTTCACTTGCTCTCTGCTGGCAAATTCAAATTGTTAAAGCATAAGCCCTCGCTTCAGAATTTTGGTGCCCACTCCAGATCAGCCAGTGGAAGCTACCAGTATTCCCGGATGAAGCCCCTCATCACCTTCAGCACAATGCACTGAGTTGCTCAACAAAGGGTTGGAAGGGGGGCATGGAGAGGAGGGCAGGCTGTAATGTTTCCTTCCCCCTCCTCTCAAAGGGCAAACATGATTGAAGGGCAACACACGAGCTGCCTGCCTCCCAGTCTCCAGAACAGAACTATTCTGTAGGTGTGCACCGCGTCCGCTACAGTGCCTAGAATATACTTGCACTATAGCGCCGCCCACCCCAGTTTGAAAATACTGGTGCCATCTATGCCTTTCATTCAGGAAATCAATTTGTCTGCACCCTCCTTTGAGCATGTTGTACTATGTAAAGTACTCAAGTTATTTTCTAGATGTCATACGTTGCCTCTGTGTCTGTCACGACAAGTTTCTCTATTCCCACTGCGTCGTCGTGCACTACACTCCACAAAATGTTCGGTATCCTACAGAGTTCCAGGACATTATGCATTAATCGCCTTTAGGCAACGCCAAACAGCGTAGAACTGCTTAGGTACCGTCATTTCATTGCTAAATATTGCTGTGCTGCCACAAAATGTCAACACGAGCATGCTCTCTGCACCTGCAGTACCATCAAGAAAGAACAATGCCAGTTAAAATATTGCAAAGAATGCGATACAAACTAGAAAAAAAAAAGTGCCGAACGTGGTATAACTAGCGTGAACGCATGCCGACTGCATCAGAACCTGGTCTTCTCACGTTTCAAGCATTAAAACTTGCAACCCTTTTCCACTTCATGCTGTTTCATCAGTGACAGAGAGACGACATGAGCAGTTGAAATGCTATTAAAACATAAGCTACACGTAAAGCAAAATATATAACCAGATAAATTGTACGACCCATGCCTTTGTTGTGTGGGATCAGTGCTCAGCTTCCATTTTTATGCCAGCACAAAAGGCTTTTCTGGTTTAAGTTCTCAAACAATGCGAAATTAATATCACACTGTGGTACACGAGAAGATGTAGCATGCTTATATTTTGACATTGCAAAATGTTTTTCAAGGTACTATTAAGAATTATTCAGTATTGGGCGGCAGATAAGCAGCGCAATAGTTGAATTAGCGAACATGAATGAGAATGACGTCATTTTAGATAACATGGACTTTCCAAGTATGATGGTATTGCTATATTTGATCAAGCAACTTGCATGAATAACCTTGCTCAAGTTGGGTATCATCCTATGTTCCTTCACCATTTGGAAATATCCAAACACACGGCACAATACCAACGTGCAAAAAGTCCAGTTTAATACAACATTTGCAGTATGTGCCCAAATTTCTTAACATTGTGTAGGAAGTTTGAGAGATTTGCCATGTACATTTTGCAATTTTTCGTCCACATTATTGGTGTTCGCACCCAAACATTTATACTACTATAAACAACAGCAACATTACTGCAACCTGCAGAAGAAAAAGAGATCAGGCTTTTTATTTTACAGAGGTATCCTCAACACAACAACACTGGTGACACTTATCAATGGAAACACTGGGAAGCACGAGTGATGAGTGGAAAGGTGTCAGTCTGTTAACATGCACGCTTTTTAGGTATTGGTATCAAAATATACGATTCACTTCAAACATCAAATGCACTTCAGTCAAACTTGTAGCCCCGTTTCTTAAGGTCCTCCCTGGCTTCCACAATTTGCTGCAACAAAAGGAAACAGACATATTCTTGCATAATTAGATTGCACAGTCTGCAGTCTTTGCTTGCACATCTGCCTTTCACATACGCTATGCAGCTTATCATCTCAAAGTTGCATGCGAAACCATGACCACCTCAGTCAAGGGCTCCAGAAACACCTAGCAATCTGCAAAGTGCATCCTTACTGAAGGCATATTTATTTTGACTATACTCGCAGAAAACTTTTCTTGGCAATGGAGGGAAGGCTACGGTCATGGAGTAAGACACCTTAAAGAGGTGCAACTCCACTCCTTGAGGCAACCAGATAACGTCACATTGCTGGAGGGCCAAGTCATACTGGCAGGCATCTTGCGGTAGAAAAGGGAATCGGCACCGATTCAGTTTCCAAGGCAAATGGTCGCGAGCAAAGCTCGCATTTTCGCCGTAATCGTGGACCGCGTTCAGATGTGCTCGGCTGGAAGCGTTGCTTTTTCTTTCTTTAGTGATTGTGGCTTTGCCCTCCAAGGCGCCGCCAACTGAAATGTCTCCGTTGGAGCGGGTTATTTTTGTATTTCATGTGAAGTTATTTGCACGCCAGCGGACACCCATTCTAACACAAATTTCACCTCCTAAATATTTCTTCCTCCGTGGCTACTGTGCCAAAGTGGGGGTGCGCCACCACTGCAGAATATGGTAGTTCCACAATTGCATCCGTGTTTTTTGCATGAAAACAATAAAAAACAGCATTACTTTATGTCCTACAAGATGCTGTTTATAAAGAGATGCAGCGCACTAAAGATAATTTCATTTTGTTTTACTTTATGCAATGTCACTTTATGTTTTTGCATGCATGACAACGGTGCATATAGTCAAAATGGCGTCTTCGTCTTCAAGTGAGTGCTTGTTGCCCTCCAGCTATTTTGGCGACTTGGCGAAAGAGCTTGTGATGATTTCACCCACAAATGGCTGTCTAAGCAGATGTAGCAGAATTTATGCAGTGTTATAATTAGAATATGACCGTCATTCAAAACACTAGCCAAACTGGACTACTTCTCAGAGGGGCACATGAGCGGTACCTTCAGCTCCACAGCTTTCCTTTCATTGCAAAGAAAAGTTGTCTGCGAGTATGGTACATCTGCATAGTTCCACAATTTTCGATGGCATGCGATCTCAGGTGAACTTGTACTATCAACTTTCTAAAGCTTCTTAATCAGAGCCATATCCAAGAATTTTTGTAAGAGGTTGTATATGTGTAGAACAGCTAACTTTGGCAATTGGTGGTCTACGTGAAGGCATGTAAATAGGCCAAAAAATTATAGCATGAAAAAATGTTGGGGAGGGGGTTTCAGAACCCTCTCAACTCCCCACTAGTCACGGCTCCATGCTTAGTACAGACCAAACCATGTTTAACATTTAACAATTATGCTTGTTGTACGTGAGTGAGCAATTTACGCCATGCGCTTGGTATTGAAGGAGTCATTTTTCGTTCAAGATGGTTTAGAATACAGTAGGCCGGGAAATCAATATCACTAAGCTATATGAAGAAAGTTGCACCGGAAGATCACACTACAGTCTGCGAGAACAAAAGAAACGAGCTCCTAGAACAAGAACCCAATATGGAAAACAAAGTATTGCTTACCAGGTACCTCAGGTTTTAAATACCCTTGCAGATCAATTGAACTTTAGGGCTAGTAGTGCGACTTTCAAGAAACAAATAAAGAACTTATTCATAACCACCGGTCTACACTATCGAAACTACGTAATGGAGTCTCATGCTTCTG